GCTGCTTTCCAACTGCATAAATTGGTTTTCATAAAAAAGGAAGGTTATTACAACAAAAACCATATTATTCAAATGGTTCAAGGCAAAGAATAATTTATAGCACAATAATTCCACTATTATAATTGATTTATATATACTGAGATTGTTAAAGTGTGTCATCAAGACAAGTTACATGTATTTTTACTGAACATTTAAAGATATCTTGAATCACGTTTAAAATTCTCAAGGAGTTTGAAAAACTGTGAAAAATATTTAGTGATAGAATAAAAGAATTGAGGGTACTGTAGAGCATTGTATTGAAGATAAACATATTTATAAATTCCTCTTAATTAATGTGTCCATTGCAGAATCAAAGGCATGTAAAAAAAAAGCATTTCTGATGCATCTTTTATTTCCAACAAATCACTGCCCAAGAAGAATGTGGGGAAAAAACATCTGCACTTAACAATGTTTTTTTAAATCACAAATTTTAGGCTTTTTGGTTTCTTATGCTTTGTCATTTTCAGCCTTTAAACCATAACTTAAGTATTACATTACATATGGCATTTCAGAGTATTTTGCCTTTCATTGTCAAGCCCAATTAATAAATTCTGGTATTAAGAAAAGGTCTCTTGAGACAAAAGGTAGATCTGTAGTGCTATTTTTACATGCCTCTGGTTTTGAATTCAAATTGGGAAATTGAAAAATAAACAGGAATATAAGGAGAAAATATGACAGTTATGATTTTTTTTATTTATTTATTTTATAACAAATTTTAGGCTTACCATTTTCTAATACTTCATCAGCTTTCAGTATTTAAACCTTAACTCTTTAAAAATGGCTTGGGATCAAACTCACAACCATTTTGTGTTTGTTATAGTTTTCTTGCTATAACTTTTAAATTAGTAAGCATATGTTCATGAAATTTGGCAGATTATCAAAAAACGTTACAAGGCTTTTGTACGTAAAATATCTTTTCTTTTCTTTTCGCATGTTGACTATCCATCCATCAAATCTCTATACAGGTTTGGTATATTTCACTGACCTCATAATCACCACCACCACCACCACACACACACACACACACACAAAAAATCTCATAACATTATATATATATATATATATATATTGACTTTTCAGCTGTGCGTGGCTAACAGTACAAACATTGTAATGATGTGGCACACTGTTGTTACTGTATCTAAGAATATAAAACTGACTTTTACAAAGTGACCTGTCTAGGCTTTGTTTTAGTGGACTAATATTTTGTAAAATACGGTCACATTTCGGTTATAATACATTATAAACAAATAAATAAGTAGAGCAAACAATTTACAAACTAGTTACAAACTTTGTACTTATTTGCTGTATTTACATACACACACACTCATTTTGAAATATCTAAAAATCAAATTACTATATCAATACCACAAAATTTATCAAACTTAGTAACTAAGCTGTATTTGGGTCTAAAAGAAAAAAAGAAATTGAGCTCACTAAAGTTACCGTAACCTTTCAAATCTAAGCTTTAAAAGAACAAGTTTGGCACCTGAATAATTCAATAATGCTGAGAAAGCCACTAGGGGGACATTTTGAGTTTTTGATTGGTTATTTGCACGTCATAGACAGAAGTAAGTGTATGTAAGCATGTCTTTCCAAAGATGGAAAGAAGTAGGTGGGGCCAGTGAGTTTCATTCAGTAAAAGCAGCAATATCTCAGCAAATACAAAATATTGGAGGTTCTTATTTGATATTCTAGCTTGTCAATATTGGTAATTCGAGTTCCTAATTTGTAAGCAAATATAGACTTTGTATTTGGACATCAGAAACATCTAATTTGAATCAATGCTGCACTTAGTGTAAAGGTAACAAAGTAACTTTACTCAAGTACAGTACTTGAATGACTTTTTTCCAGTATCTACTTTTATTAAATATTTATATTTTCAAATACTTTTACTCTAACTTAAATAATTTTTAGAAGAATTATTTGTAATTCTACTCCATTACCTTTCATTTTATACATTTCGTTACTATTCTAAAAACTCAAGGTGTGCACGGGAACATAAATCAGCTAATTGCATGCATTGCTTACATCAGGAAGTTTCCTATCCCACTAGTGGCTGGCCAAGTCGCAAGCATTACTCTTTTCCTACAGTAGCTCGTGTGTGCAGGATGTCTGACCCCGACATTACTTCTCTTGAAGATAATGGCAATCCTTAGCTGTATTTTCATAAACTGTTTAAGTTTAAATGCATTATGAACAATTCTGTGTCCTTATAATGTATGCTGCATTTTGTTTCTGGACCTCATGGGCCCACAACACAAGTGTAGGGTTTGAGACACGAGTGTACTTTTTACTTTTGTTTCTTGAGTACTTATTCAGTAGATACTTTTAATTGTGCTTGAGTAACTTTTTGACAAAGTACTTTTACTCGAGTAACATATCTTAATACTTATTATATCCATACATTTAACATACCACAACAAACACCGATATTTAAGTTTTATATATATATATATATATA